ATAGAATTGTATTATACTACATTGCATTATATTATATTATTGCTTATTTTGATAGAATTACATTATATTTATTATATCATATTAAATTTATGTAGGACGGTAGTAACCGGGGCCGATCATATGTTCGAGCGCGTCTTGAAAAAACACCACGTTACGGCCATTCGAACGATTTTAAGTAGTGCGAATGCGAAGTATGGATGCGAACAAACAAAGGAAACATCGGTGAACGAAAGAATATGAAAAGAAAGAGTGAATGTGGATTGCGAGTCAGTTTTTGAAAAAAAGCAATTGCGAGCGTAGCGAAACAGCGATATTGTGATTTTAGAAATTTTATACGTTAGTAGAATATACACTGCGGTGCATCACTATAGCACCATCTACTTTTTTAGTTGTTCCGTATTCAGAGTTAAAATGCAAACAATCAATTGCAGGAGATGAAATGGTATGGGTCGCAATAAAATTTATATTAAGTCTCATTGAAGTTGCTCTTCTATTAGAAACGATATAATTGAAAATGTGATTTTGGCTTGTTGCGTAACTATAGCACCAATATTATTACATTAACTTCTCTCCATTCAGTTTAGCTACAAACTCACTGAAGCTAGATAATTATATTCTTTATTAAAGTACAAATTAAAATTTGACAATACTCTTTGTTGAACAATGCACAGAGTAGATATTTGACCGAAGAGGAGAAGGGTAAAATTTTGACGTTTAAGGAGGATAAAATTAGTGTACGGGAAATTGCCCATAGGTTAGGGCGCTTACATAAAATCATTTTGATTTTCTTAAATAATTCTTTTAATTATGGCAATAATAAAAAGGATGGTTCAAAGAAAAAATTGAGTCCCCGTACCGAACGAGCAATTTTAAAAGCAGCCAGTAACAGCTAAAACAGCTATAACCAAATTAAGAAGGAACTCGACTTAAATATTTCACGGTGGACAGTACGGCGAGTTTTGAAAAGTAATCATAACATGGTGAGGCAGAAATTAAAACTGCATCAAAACTTCTACCACGGCATAATGTTGCGAGGCTTAAATACGCTCGAGCGAACATGCATCACGATTGGAAAAGCGTAAGTTAACATTAGATGTCAAAATCTTTTTACACCAATTTACTTAAACTTCTATCATTGATAATAAGGTTATATTTTCGGATGAAAAAAAGTTTAATCTTGATAGTCTGGAAGGCTACAATTCATATTGGCGAGATCTCCGAAAAGAACCACAATACGGCTATAATTCATATTGGCGAGATCTCCGAAAAGAACCACAATACTTTTCAAAGAGAAATTTTGGCGGACGAAGTGTTATGGTTTGCGGTGCCTTTTGCATTAATGGCATGTTGTAATTGGCTTTTTCATCGAAAAAGAGGGGTAGTGATGAGTACACCACAATTTTATCAGACAATTTGTTATCTTTTATAAGACTTTTATAGGACAACGCTGTTGTATATACCAGTCGGAAAACAGTATCATTGTTGGAAAGAAACAAAATTAATGTTATTAAATGGCCAGCATGTTCACCAGACCAAAACCCGATGGAAAATATTTGAGCCATTATTTTCCGAAAAGTTTATGTCGACAATCGAGAGTATGAAAATATTTTAGAATCAAAAAACGCAATACTAAAAACATGTAATAAAATTAGCCAACGAATTTTTCAAAAACACATCGAAGGCATGCCAGATAGAATTTTCCAACTTATAACAAAACAAGGAGGCCCTACAAGATATTAAAATCATATTTATGTGGATATATTTGACATTTATTCACATGGTGCTATAGTTATGCAACGATGAAAAATCAATTTTCATGTTATATTTTTTTATATAGTAAAATAATATCAACAAATTTTTACTGAAGTTCACTATACCCTTCAATTTCATATGGATGATTTTTATGTATTGTTATTCCAAAGTCAGAATCAACTAAAAATGTAAGTGGTGCTACAGCTCTGCCCCGCAGTGTAGTCACTAGTTTTACTCCAACTAACAATTTATTTTTCTACCGTCCCGCACCCCGTTCCTACATTTATTATGTTTACTATACAACGATTTGATTTATTATATTAAGTTTATTATACAAAAAGAGTAAAGTTTAAAAATGTACATAAATGTAAATAAATTTTTAAAATATGGAAGTTGCGCCGAATACGCTGCGCAGTAAACACGGCCCTGTCTTCAGGTAAAAAATTTGCAAAGTCTAGCTAAACCGTTGACATCTGGACTCAAATTGTGCAGATTAATCGTTTTTCGCCTTTACCATTAATCAGTCTATTTCGTTACGCAGTTAAGAAAGAAATATTACACGTTTTATCCTCTCTTACTTTGTTATCTTTAAAATGATGTAATTAATTATAGATAATATACGACTTACAAGCAAAGTCTTCCAGCACGATAACCGTGATTAATATATATGCATGTTTGTTATAATTAGAATATAAATCCTTGTACATTTTGGATGTGTCATATATTTTGAGATCGTTACAAGAAAGATTACAACAAAAGAAAAAAGTAAACAGTCATTTAACGTGTTCGAGCGTACCGATAGGTCACGTAGAATGTTTGCGTTTTTTAAACACCATGCTTGTATTCAAAACGGGAGTAACATGAGACAAATATAAAGTGTCATTAAAAATATTTAAACTTAGAGTGTAATATGAAGTTGGAACTATTTTCCTCAGTATCGAAATTAGAATGTAAAAAACAAGCAAGAAAACGAAAAACCTACTTGACTGAAAATAGTTGAAAAGATATGTTATATTTAGTGTACATGTTACATATTATACATACAACTAGTATTAGAATTATTATTATTATTATCGTCTTATTAATAAAATTATATTGACGTTGAACATAATTTCCACTGCCAGAAATTTCAGTTACAAAATTTAATTAATTATATGTATACAAAAACTTGCACACATGAAACAGTTTGAAAACTATTTATCGATAGCAGAGATTTATGTAAAATGAAATCCGAGCTGCTGAGGCATCGCGAACTGATTTTTGGTGCGTCACGGTAAATATTAAATATTTGAAACGTTGGAATTTTGAAATTGTTGAGCGTCGGGACATTGCAGTTATGGTATATTAAAATTTTAGTACTGCGAATGTAATTTTTGGAATTTTTTATTTTTCAAGTAATAGAACGATGAAAATTTAAGAATGTGGAATTTAGGAATTGCGATATTTTAAATTTTGTTACTTCTGGAACTTCAAAATTTTGGGATTTTACAATTTTAGAATTTAGGAATTGTAAAAGTTAGGAATTGCAGAATTTCAGAACTGTAGAATTTAGGAATTGTGAAATTTCGAAATGGCAGAATTTCGGATTTATAGAATTTAGGAATTGCGGAATTTTGGAATTGTAGAATTTAGGAATCGTGGAATTTCGGTATTGTAGAATATAGGAATTGTGGAATTTCGGCTCCGTAGAATTTCAGAATTGTGGAATTACAGAATGGTTGAATTGCTGATCTGTGGAATTGCGGAACTGCATAATTGTGAGATTGTAGAATTATGGAATTGCGGACCTGCAGAATTGTGGAATTGTAGAATTATGGAATTGCGGAATTGTGGAATTGCAGAATTGTGGAATTATAGAACTAAAAATGTCAGAATCATCAAATTTTAGCATTTGAAATTTGAGATTATCAAAACTTTTCACATCACAAAATTTTACGATTTTTAAATTTTGAATCCTCGAAACTTTAGTAAATAATTCATTATAAATTAGTATCACAGATATTACTATTTTCGAAGTGGATCCCCACAAATTATAAGAGTACTCTTCACAAAAGTGACGTGTCAAACAAAAAAAGTTTGATCTACTGTTTTGCTTATTAGTTCTAAAAGAACTATCATATACATGCCTGTACTTTAACAGCACCCTATATTGTATCCACTTCATTGGAAAAGATGGTTAATCTTTAATCTCCGATTAGTTGAGAGCATAGCCACTTTCGCGATAACGATTTTGATAGATTTATTTTGTAATCGAACTAGATATACAACCGGTACGATTTAAGTAGAATAAAAAATATTATTTTTCCTTTAAACAGGCTGTCATTCGTTATACATATACGTAATAAATGTTTCACGATGATATTTTTAATAATTTGTATATTACTTTTATTTTAAGTTATCTATTATTTAAATTATTACTTTTTGATTACGAAATATCTATAAAAGGAATTTAATAAAAATACGAATAAAACGAAGATATAACACTTTCTAATCGTTCACTCAATATAATTTTTCAAGTATTGGAGGAAAAATTAAAAAAAGAAGTAAAATATCCAGTCAAGATATTCAATCACGCGATCCTGATATTTAAAATTCCCGCCTATCGTCATTTATCTGTTATGACTTAATATCAGACATTATATTTTATAATGCGTGAATTTTGACATTACGAGATGCTTTTTAATTATTAGAATGAACACTAAGTAATTAGATGTAACCAATATTTATTCCTGTACTCGTTATTTTTTATAATGTTGGCCTAAATAAAATGCACTTTCTTTCTTTGTCAGACTTATGTTTTCAAGAAAAACTTCGTAGGAATAAATGTAAATACGATATAGTTATGTGCAGAAAAATGTAAAGAAAAATCATTACGAATTTTGTGAACGCTATAAATTATAATAAATATAAATATTACGTTAAAATTGATAAATAAACAAACTAATAAATAATTAATAACTTAAAAATAAAAATGTTATTAATATTTGCAATATATAATATTATTTAATGTTGACAGTTAATTATATTATATTATGAAATATAATATAATATTATATTAATTTGACAGTTATGAAATTATTAGAAATTACAAAACGAAATGTAGATTATAGAAAGTCAGTAAACATTAAAGAAATTACGTATAATCAAATAATGAATGATTAATAATTATAAAATTATACTTTCCTGCCCGTAGGCTATCGTATTTGCATTTATCAGATGTATTTACACGAAGATGCACTTAAAACTAGTATCACGAGAAATAAACTATCACTCACCGATATTAACGATCCTGATTCCCTCGTCGTCCAAAAATTTTAACGCCACCGACACATTTTCCAGCTTCTGCGATCTGAAAGTGGGCCGTTGACTGTGTTTCGGAAGTTTCTTCTGTGTGAGCACCTCGATCAAAGAAATCAATCGAAGCCCGTCCGACAAATCACTCTCGAGATCATCGATGTGTTTGTTCGCCGCCTTCAGCTTTTCGTTCGCCCATCTCGTGAACGTATTCTGCTGTATTCGTTTCCATTGTGCGTCCTCCTGCAAATCTTGCTCGAACATCTCGTAGCCTTCTTCCTCGGCGTTCTCGCACTTGACTGACTTATCGTTCTCGCCCATTTGATCGGCCGGTTCGTTCCTACGGGACCATAGAGTTGTGATGGTGAGCACAATGGTGGTGGAAATTCACCTTGTGTGCGTGCACACGTTCTGCGCAGTAACTTCACCTCCCCTCCCAAACGACGCCAGCGTACTCTCACCACACACAACCAACAACATTCGTACGCTTTTTTTCTCTGCTTTCTTTTGTATCTGTATCCTTGCCCATACTGGTCGTTTCAATTTTTTCCCGCCATATTCCGACACGATATATCGCGCCAATGAAATATGACAACAGAAATATTGTACCATTTACTGGGACACTCGACAGAGAATCTGTATACCCACCGAAAATATGGCAGCGAGGGGAAAATTAATTATTAGCAATTTTTTACGAATTTGTAACATTTGATTTTGAGGTTTACAAATGGGGAATATTGAGAGACTAGGAGTTTAGGTTTCAAAAGTTTGGGACTTATAATTTAAATTTTAGAAATTTGGAACTTACAAATTTACAATTCAGAAATTTGGGTTTTATAAATTTTGAAATTCAAAAATTTAGGTCTTTGGAATTTAAGGATTTGGATTCTGGAATTTTAGGATTTAGTAACAAGACATGTAGAAATCTAAGAATTATAGTATCTAGAAGTTTAGAAATTGGGAAATTTGGGAATTTGAATAATAGGAATGTAGAATTTGAAAAAATTAAACATATGGAAATTTGGGAGTTTAACAGTTTCGAGATTTAAAAAATTGAGTACTTTGAAAATTTGAGATTGTTAGATTAGAAATTCAAAAATTTGAGAAAGTGGAAAATTGAAAAATTTGAAATTTTGGAATTAGGCAATTCAAAAATTTAATAATTTCGACTTTTTGAAAGCTTTAGTATTGGGTAATTTGGGAACTTTAAAATATGCAAATTTGATAATTTGAAAATTTTGATCATTTAAATATTTAAATTTCAAAAACTTAAAAGGTCAGAAATTTTACTGTTTAAACATTAGAAATTCATATAAAAATGTAAAAATTGTGACGGATCGGTGGGGGAACTGGGAAGAGGTTCCCTAAGGTGGGGGGCAACCAGGAAAAGCAGCCCTCCACGTACCGACGCTCACACCCCCGGACGATTTCTTTCACAGGGCGCCAGTGCCAATGCACGCGTCCGAGGGGGTCAGAAAATAAGTAGAAGAACCGCGTTAAAAGAGTTACAAAGAAGAAGAAAACGCAATAATAAAGAAAAACAAAACGCTGGTAGAAAAGCAAATATATGTATATATAAAAAAACTCTCTCACACATTCCTGCCCAAGCGGCGAAGGGTCCGCTTGGGCGGAGGAGTGAGGCCGGCAATCTGAGGGCTCCTCGTAACGAGGCATAGAGATAAAATAATTTTAAGAAAAAAAATACGCCGACTTCGAAATGCACTAAAAAGTATAAAATAATTTCTATTTCCTAATGAAGTATAATGAAGTAAT